AGACCAAGAAGAGATTTTTTTTAAAGGAGGACTCTTTGATTATTTTGAAAGAGTTTATATTCAAGAAGTGCTTTTGGAGATTAATCTCAAGGGTTTGAACTAAATGCAATTACATGGTCTTGGATAATCATGCTAGCTAAAATTCTCATCAAGATTGCAAGATAATAAATGGCATGGCACATGTATGATCAAGATCAATCTAAGAAACCCCATTTGGCCAAGACATTCCACAATTGAAGACTCAATGTTCGGCCATACCACTTCAAGATCAAGATAAAGCCTAATCTTTTTAAAGTTTGATTTACAATGGGACTTTGTCATCCCAATCCCCTTCAACCAAACCTACCTTTATTAATAGGAGGCTTTTATCACTTGCAAATCACTCAATTTTCATCATACTATTTTCCCTATTTCTTTCTTGTTGTTTTCAATTTACTTTTGAAGTTTTCTATAGTTTTCTTAGTTGGCTAGGGTGACAGACTAGCCATGACAAGTTGTTTTCTTTAAAGCATTTTTTAATATAAGTTTTTTTTTATATTCAAGCTCAACAAGCATTCTTTCTTTTCAAGTTTCAGTTTGTAAATCTTGTTGCAATATTTCTTTTATGCTTCCTTATTTTTGGCAAACATTCATTATTTACAAAAGCTTTCGATTCTCTTAGTATACAAGTATATTGATCTATACTTGAACTACCAAGTGAGAGTTGGATAGTTGGTTTTTGGCTTATAAAATTTCTATTTGCATTGTTTTCATTGTTTACTTTTTTTTAAAATCAAATCAATCTTTTCATTTGTTTAGAGATAAAGTTAGTAGATTATCAACTTTTGTACTTGATTTACACCCAACCATTAAATCATAATCCTTGTGGCAATGATACTCTACTTACTCACATTATTACTTGATGTGATTTGTGCATTTACAAGCGATACAAAAAGTAGCAATGAAGAATTATCAAGTAGTTTCGTGTCTCCATGTTGTAGAAATAGGCATGCATGAGAACCTATTGAGAATATAGTTGCTCTATGTTAACTCTAAAGTAGAAGATCCCTCTTCTATATAAGGAATATAAGATGTCCCTCTCTATCTAATATAAGACATACATGATGATTGTTAAGTTTATAATCTTTATAAGTTCATTTTAGTTTTGAAAATTTGAAAATTTTCTTGAATTTGGTGCTTTTATGTGTGAAATCTTGATTTTTAGGATTTAGGTTAATGTTGACGTGAATACCATGCAAATCATGCAAGAAGGTTGCATGCATAAACCATGCAAATCAAGAGCCCAAGGGATTTCCATCATATGTTCAGCTAAAGGATGAAATTTTATTAAAGAAAGACTCTTGTTTATCTTAAAAAAGTTTCAAGCCAAGAAGAACACATTAAAGAAGATAATGGCTAGAGTCATTGTGTAACAATGACTTTTCAATTTTTATCCAAGAGAGATTGGATTCAAGATAAACAAATCAAGTAAATTAGTCTTGGAATTTAACTTTGCCAAAACTTTTATGGAATGAAAAGGTCATGTTGACTTAGCGAGATACATAAGCATGGATGACCAATCAAAGAAGTCCATTCAGCAAACATAAGCTCTATCTCATCCTTAAAGATGTATACATTGGCCAACTTTTATCAAGATCAAGATAACATTGTAATCTCTTAGAGTTCAAGATAAAGTAAGACTTTTTAGACTTGATCTCCCCTTGGTTGAACCTAATATTATGAATAGGCTAAGCCATCTCACTTGTAACATATTCTATCCTATTCCATTCCACATCTTCACCCATCTCATTCTTTTATTCTTTTCTTGTTTGGTTTTCTTTAGTTTTCTTTATAAAAGATGGCATACTAGCCATAGATTTGTTTTCAAAGCTTTCTTTCAACACATGTTTATTTTTATTCGAAACTTTACTTTCTTTACTTTGTATACAACTTATTTTTTTCCAAGTACTTATTTACTTTTCAAAGCATTTGGTTATTCTTTTTGAAGCCATTTACAATTTGATCTTACTTTTTTTTGTTTTCTTTTATATTTGACCAATTCCTAAAGCTACCAAATGGCAATTGGATAGTTTGGCTTTTAGCCTATACATTTACAATTTTCATTATTTTACTTTTGCTTTCAGTCAATCTTTTGATTTATTTAAATACAAAGTTAGTAAAAAGTACCTTTGCTACTTGGTTTTACATTTAAAACATAATCTTCATGGGAACGATACTCTATTTCATTACTTTATTACTTGATAACGATCTGTGCACTTATAGGCTTAAAAAAGAGTAATCAAGTTTTTAACCCTTTTGTAGGGGATTATATTAGTGCTAGAAAACAAATATCAATATCGATTCTTTCTACTTTGTAATTTAGCCTTTTTTTATTTTTACTTACATTAATCTAGTTTGATCTTTCTTTGTTTGCATGCATAGATCTCGAAGTGTTGATTTAGCTCCATTTGTTAAAGAAATCGAAAAAACACTTAGATGTCTAAGATATGAGCAACCAACAAATCCAATCCAATGGTGAAAGTAACAAACGAAGGTCATAAAACCCTTAGGGACTATTTCTAAACCCTAAAGGCTCGTAATTATCTATTTGAAAGCTGACAATCCAAGCCAACAACTTCGAAATCAAGCCTTCTATTATCCAAATGATCTAAACTTTTGTTCAGTTTGAAGGACAATAGAATGATGATCTTAATCTTCATCTTTCTAATTTTCTTGAACTTTGTGATACTTTTAAATATAATGGAGTTTTAGATAATGCAATTATACTAAGATTATTTTTGTTTTCTCCTAAGGAAAAAATAAAGAGCGGGTTATCTTTATTTGTTTCTGGCTCCATCACAACATGGGACGATCTAATTGAAAAGTTCCTCGCCAAATTCTTTCCACTAGTCAAGATGGCAAAAATAAGGAACGAAATCACAACCTTTCAATAATTTGATGATGAAACATTGTATGATGTATGGGAGAGATACAAAGAGACATTGCTCAAGTGCCCACACCATGGTCTCCCACAATGGCTTCAAATCCAAATCTTTTACAATGGGCTGACACCATTAACAAGAACAATAATAGATTCAATCATTGGAGGAGCTATCATAAGCAACTATGTGTAAGAGGCATATGAGTTGATTGAAGAAATGGTTGCCAATAATTATCAATGGGTAATAAAAAAAAAGGTCCATAAGAAAGCTATTAAGGTATACGAGCTAGACACCTTTACCTTGATTACATCCCAATTTGCTAGCCTAACCAAAAAGATAGATGCCTTCAGAACCCAAACACCTATCGCCCCTATCCAAGCTATTCAAAGCCTGTTCATAAATTATGACATTTGTGAAGGCCCATATTCCTCAGATAGGTGTCAATATAGGGTAGAAACCGTGCAATATGTCCAAACCAAGCAATCCCATAATCTTGGTTACTTTTTCAAGTGAGATTTTAGGATGAGTTAAAGGAAAGTTTGGGGGATTGATTTAGGGAGGAGGAGGTTGATGTCATGGAGGATACACCAGAAAACAAAAAAGAAGAGAGGGGTGATTTGTTAGGTTTTTTGGCCGATTCAAAGCTTAATATGATTCAGAATGGGTTTGGACAACTGCCTGCAGTGAAAAGTGGTTAGACTTGATTGAAGTTGACCAAGGAAGGGGGCTTTACAGCGAAAGATGGGGTTAGAAGAGAAGAGAGAGAGAGAAGAAAAAAAAAAGAAATAAAGGAGAAGAAGGAGAAGAAAGATAGGGACAAAAAGAATTTTAAAACTAATTTTAACAATTAGTGATAAAATTTTAGCAACAAAATTTCATTGCTAATTGTCCTTACCAAGACTTAACAACAAATTATCTTTTAAAAAATTTAAAAAATTGGATTTTAAAAAACTAAAAATCTAAATTAATCATAGTGATGAAATTGCATCGTTAATTCCACTAAACCAATAATTAGCAACAAAACTAATGTTTTGTCATTAATGACTTATTTAACTCTAAAAAATTTTTTAAAAATAAAATGGTTTATTGTAAACAACAAATAAAGAATAAGCAATAGAAAATTTCTGTTGCTAAATCCATTGGAATAAAGTATAATTAGTGATGGAATTCTTTCGCTAATATAAGCATCATTCCAGCAATTTTGGTGAGAACTTTTAGTAATAAAATTAGTCACGTAATCAATTCCCATTGGTAGTTTTTGAAATTTTACAATGAAATTTCATCGCTAGTTCCGTCACTAAAAATGGTATTCTAAGTCACTTAAATTTGTTGATAATCCATCAGTAGTACTAACTTTTAGTGAAGAAAAATTTTGGTCGATAATTTTCTATCATTAGTTATTTTCTTATATTGGTTTTATGGATTATAATTACAGATATAGATACAATTATAGATTATCGAGATATATATTATAGGTATATAATTAGTACATCATGGACAATGTATCCTTATAGACTTCTTTCTCCAAAATGGTAATACCTAAATTATTTTAACTGTTAATATAATTAGAATATATCATGGATAGTAGGGGTTGCAAATGCAAAGGTATGGAGTTCATGGACACTCAAAAATTGGAAAAAAACAAAATTCTGAACACCAAAATTTTTCAATGAATTTATCTTTCCTAATTCTTTAACAACTCCACTCTCTGCTTGTACCCAATACCCAGCCACAGCCTGTAGTCAGCCAACACTCAACACACAGAAGACGCCCATTACAATAGCTGGATACCCCTAAAAAAAAAATCTTGAATCTTCCGCTGATCATGGATATTTTTATTTGTTTGTTTCAATGCTTGAAAGTTCTATATTAGTTCTTAATTTATAATTCTCTAATTTTTTATTCTTACAATAATTTTCAACCGTATATCCGTCTTTCAAGAGAATTTGAAATTTCAGGTTAGATCTACCATGCAGTGGGGAATTAGTGAGGAGATTGCAAAGAATTAAGTTTGTTCGTTTATGCAAACAACGAAAAGTATTACACGAAACAAATTCGTTGGTTACCATGATGTCACATTGTTTTGAGGTTGTTTATCCTTGCGCCGTTCAAGTAAACAAGGATGGCTTGGAAACATCGAAAGGCCAAACCTGCAGTCATGAGTCAGCAAACGACATTGTACGTCGGGGCCTGCAGTTAGCAGTATCTATCATATCTCTTCCGTCAATTGAATGTTTGAACAGGTAATCAATAATGCAGCCAAACGTACTTCGATAGAACCAGGAATACAAAAAGCAGGGACTTGACACAACCTAGAAATCGTTTGTTGTCTATAAAAGCCTATATGATCTATTCTGATCTTAGTGAATTTCAGATAAAGAATAATATCAGAGGAAGAGGAAACAGTCAAGTGTTGATATATGGCGTCCAAGGCTACGGCAATTGCCACCGTTGTATTGAGAATTTTTACTATTTTATTTGCAGCTGGAAGTGTGGTGGTTCTGATACTGGACAAGGCCACTGATGTAGATGGTAGCAAATTAACATTCAAGAATGTCACTGCCTACAGGTAAACATTACTTGAGTGTCTTTTCAATTTTTGTATTTTTTTGGTATATATAGGAGGATTTTGAACTATATATAATTAATTGGAAGTAGCCCTTTTCAAAATCAGACTTTACCCTGTTAAGTTTTTGCTACAAGTTAGTTTTAATTATTGATTGGAAGGAAATTTGAGTGTGCAGGTATGTGCTGGCCACCGATGTTGTTGCAGCAGCCTATTGCCTTTTGCAGTTACCTTTTGCTATATACTATGCTTGCACCGAAAAGAGGCTACTTCGCGGTGATTTCTTGCCGGCCTTCGATTTTTATGGAGACAAGGTATGTGCTCACCACATCCATGCGACCGGCTAGGACAAATATATATGTTTTACACTTAAATTAGATTTGACAATTCGTATATTTGTATCATAATTATTTCACATCGAATATTTATAAAATATTGTATGTCAATTTGTGTAAATATTTAAATATAAAATATATTTTTTTATTTTTCATATCATATTCTCTTTTGTCAAACACGTTAAAATTTTAAATTGTATCCCTTTCATATATATATTTTTTATCGTATTATCATATCGTGTCTACATTATCAAATCTAATGTGTATAAAATTGTTGAATTGATCAAACCGAATAATATAATTTTGATTTAGTAAAGTTAACAATTTTATGATTAAAATCAATGATAAATAAATAAATAATATTTTATATCTACACTTTACCCTATAATTAATAAATGCTTTTAACAAAAAGCTAATTTTAACCCACACGCAATATTAGGTTTTCACCATTAATTAGTAATTGAGATATATAAATATATAAGTAAATTATACGTCTGGTCACTTAAATATTCAATAATTTTTTACTTTGATTATTAAATTGCAAAAATCATAATTTGATCAACAAAATTTTCCACAATTTGAAAATTTTATCACTTTGCTGTTCTTATAGTTGGCTTTTATGATTTTCCACATATGCTAATTGACATGTCGCATGTAATTTTCAACGTGTCATTCAAATATATCTATATATATATAAGTAAATTACACATTTAATTGTTTAATTTTTAATGAATTTTTATTTTAATCATTCAATTTAAAAAAAATACAATTTGATCATCAATGTTTATAAAAATTTATTAATCTTTTAATCTTAATTGTTAATATCTTGTTGTCAATGTGATTTTACAACATTTTGTCACGCATGCTAGAGAAATTTATTATAATAAATTATTTTATGTTTTTTGTTATTCATATTGAAATATCTTCAAATAATATTTGAATAAGTACTTGAATTATATAAGAAAAATAAAATAATCTCTTGAATTTTTGTAAAAAGAAATGCTATAAACTTTTATTTCCTTATAATTTGAACATAAATTAATTTTTCATCACCATCTATTTATTATAGCTGATCGCCTTTCTTATGGCAACAAGTGTTGGTGCTGGTTTCTTGGTCACTGTGGAACTGAAAGAATTTCTGGGTGATTTATTCAAGGAATTTGGGGCAGATTTGAAAGATTCAATGTTTGAAGGTTTTTTTAACAAGGGATATCTTGCGGGGGGTCTTCTGGCAGGCGCATTCTTATGCATGGCTATTCTTTCAATACTTTCCTCTCTCCAAAGGACTGGCATCGGCAGCAGAGGTTTCTTCCGATGATATCTCTAAAATAATTCTTCTTTGAGGCCATTGCCAAAACCAAATACAATATATATACATTTTGTTTTATTTTTGTCTCAACTTAATAAAGTGAAATAAGATGAAAAGCATCACATTCATGCCTATCACTTTGGTGAATGGTAATATTAAAGCTTGATGCTTTTGTTTTTAGCGGTCAAACTTACCAAAAATCCATGTATTATATGAAAATTTGGAATTTAATCTTTTTATTGTGATTAATAGAAATTTAATTATTTAATTATTTTGATTTAATAATCCTAATCTTATCATAAAACAGTGTCAATTTATCACCGTTAAAATCGATGACATGAATTTTGATCTGTTGACATGTACATTGATTGGGTATACATGGTTGAATGATTGGTTGAAAAGGTTTATAATGTTGACATATTAAAAAAATAATGAAACATGGCAAAAAAATCCAACTCAATTCTTTCATAATTTCTCTTAACAAAAAATAAAACTTTTTCCTCTTAATTAACTTAAAAAAACTCCAAAACCATAAACCAAAATTTGAAAAACAAACCCCAAATCCCTAATCCATTTCTTAACTAGTTGAAGATCCTAAATCCCTAACCCCATAACACCCTTAAACTCTAAGTTGAAACCCTAAGAGTTGTCCATTGTAAACGAGAAAAATTTTGATAGTATTGATTGAAATGAGGAAGGTTTCGAGAGCTGGAGATTGTTCGAATGAATGTCATCTTTCATGTTTGGGATTAGGTTTAGTTCGTCTAAAAAGTGTGCAAAGGTTAGATGATTCCATTTGTTTAACATGGTTAATTAAATTTGGTTTAACTTGTTTTAGATTAGGATTGGGATTGGAAAGTAATTATTTTTTATTTATGGATATGTTTAGGTAATTGACTAAAAGGAGTGAAATTGATGGAAAACTGTAACAAATCCAGGAATGGTAAATTTTTTTTTTAGTATTGAGTTTTTTTCTTGAAAATTATAATATTGATTTATTTTCCTAAAAATTTCCATAATCTGAAGAATGTGAAACCTTAAATTGGCTAAAAACACACATTTACTTTAGTATGTTTGATGTTTAGATTAAATTTTGAATTAAAAGGACCTGAATTTAATCTGTGTTATAGTAACTTATGATTATAGAGTTGACTTAATGTATTGTTATTGCAGATTTAAGGCTTTTGTAATCACTTTAATAAGTTATAATAATCTTGGAAAGCATTTCTTTAGCTACAACAACTATCAAGTATACATGAATTAAATGTGCATTTTTCTATATTAAATTGTTTGTAAAGTTGGTTGTGATGTTTGAAGCCTTTTAATTATAAGATTGTGCTTGGAATGATAACATAATGTATGAATTAAAAAGCTGATACAAGCAAGGAAACCAGTGTCGATTTTTTGCTTGGCATGAAAGGCCAATTAAGGATGAACATCTGAAATTGTGGATTGTTGATTTAAAGGATGCCAACAAAGTTTTGAAGAAGGAGAATTCAATATTAAAGGATGGGAATAGAGCATTGAGAAGAATGACTACTGAGTTGAAAAGTGAAAATGCTTGTAAAAAAACCATCATCAACACTGATAAGTTACTTGATGAGGTTGTTGTGCTAAAAGCTAAGAATGAGCTATTACAAATTAGATTGAAAAATGCTAAGTTAGATAGAAGAATGGAAGTAAAGTTAAAAATGATGTATAAAATGACTTTGATGTTTACGTTGTTAATGTGTTTGTCTTTTGCATTTGGAGTTCGTATGCATGACATAATTAGGAATGATGTGTTGGCTCTCTACCATGACTAATTATGTACGAAAGATGTAATGTTTAATGTTATAATTTTCTTTCATTTAAGTGTATATGTGTGGCAGGAATTTCAATTGCATTTAATTGTGGCTTTGTTGTAATGAGAAATATAAATATTTTGTTATGGCTTGGCCATGAGGCTGCATCATGATGTTTTAATACTAATTTGAGTGATTTTGATAATGTGCAACAAAATTGGACAATATCTACTAGCATCAAGGTATGTATGATCGTTTATAATCAATGAACCCAAGAGATTGAATGATAAAGTTATATTTTTAATTTCGAACCATGAATCAAATATTTACAACAAAATATTATTGTTTGCATTTATAACAAAAAATGACTATGATGTATGGTACTATAATTCCAGACCAATATTTGGTATGAATACCATTACATATAATTCAAACCTGGTATAAAAAAAGCTAAACTTGTAGCTAAAACCTCAAAAGTAATTTCATACAAAAGCTGTGCAAAAGGTTGGTATTATATGTTTAGAGCAATAAGGTCTATTACGTAAATTGTCACTACAAAAAAAGGGTGAATCCTCATCCTCAAGCTTTTTCTTTTGCCTTTGGTTGAATTAAATGCAAGACTTTCTTGTGTTGAGAGTGCATCAAAATTTCTTATTCTTTCCCACTTGTTGAGACATGTATTTTTAGAACAACCTAACAAAAAGCAGAATATGGTTAATAGTAGAACAACCTTTTTTTTTTTTTTATAACAACCATGTTCTTAGTCTCAAGGGTTTAAGTGATTACCAATAGTTGGTTTTTAGTGATGTATTGACCAGACATGATGTCACCCCTTCCTATAATCAATTCACTAGGTCTTTTAAGCTAATATATTGAAATACATTATATTAGTGGTTTAAACACTATATTAGTGCCAACAAGATAGTTTTAACTTTAGTTGAATATTGATAGCTAGTATGGGTCTTGGTAAAACCTAATACCTTCACAAGGGTGGTGAAAGTTCCTTGTCTTTTTTCTTATCTATAAACTCTAAAAAATGGTTTGCAAATGCCTAGAAAAGTATGTGCAGAAATTGAAATATAGCAATAAGATAAAAATTTAAATATGTAATACATTTACATTTGTTTTTGGCACTTGTAATGGTTCACATTGTCTTGAACCTCCACAAATATCCTACATAAACCATGTAGCAATAAGATAAAAACAAAATTAAAAGAGGCAATTTTGAATGTTCAATAATTAACAACTGTAATATACCTTAGATTTATTAGTGGAAATACAAAAGGTTGTTTTGCCACTTTCCTTGTTTATGGAAAAGAAATGTGAAAAAATGATGGGGCAAAATGCCAAGTTTTATTATAGAATGGAAAATGATCATTTGGTTTGAAATGTTTAAACATATGCTTCAAGCCTATTTATCCATTTTTTTCATAACCTTCACTTTAACCTATGTTACATACCTTAAAAGTTTATTTTGATTAAATCTAAATGCTTGAATTGAAGGATCATATATTAAGCTAAGGCACTCTTGTGATAGAGCAATGAGATCATGATTTATTCTCATGCTGAAAAGATTGATGTGTAGGAGATATCAATAATGGATGAAGTGAAAAGAAATATGAAAAAAAAAGATGAGAAAAACGTAAAAAAATGCAAAAAAAAGGGAAAATGAAGACTCAAATTAAAAACTAGGATCAATTCTGGAAAAAGATGCCTAGCCGAAATTAAAGAAAACAAGAAACAAGATTTTGCAAACTTAAAGAACAAGAAAACAGATCTTTGAATGAAATACTTCTTGATTGAAAAAGATTTAAAGAATAAAAACTTGGTAATTGGCAAATTTGTCACCTAAGCCAATACCTTAACTAAAAGAAATAAAGAACTTAAAGAAACTTAGAAATCAAAAGAAAGAAAAGAAGTGAGGAGAGAAATGATTGAAATAAGAGAATGACCTCCCTATTTATAAAATGGGATTCGACTAACAGGTGGAAGATTACAAGATGCATTTTCAAATTGAAACTCTAGGGGATAAGCTAGATCTTTATCTTCCAAGTTGCATGAAAATGAAAAACTCTTCAATTTTGAATGCCTTAGCCGAACGTGATGATGATCTTGGCCTTTGATATTTACTTGATGAAATCTTGATAAATCCTCCCTTTAGGTTCAGCTATAGTGGATTTTAAGAGAAGATAAATTTACTTTTTATCCAAACTCTTGATCTTTAAAGTGATAAAGTCTTCATCCTATCAAAACTCTTCAAGACTAAGCAAAAGACTCATGATTGGTTTCAAACTCCTTTTGGTCGAATGGATTGAGCTTGAAGAGTCCAAATGCTTGCAAAATTTTTTTCCCCCTTGCATAGTCGAATGTGCTAGTGTCCTTGTACAAGTCATTCTCTTCATGGCTAAGCAAATAAGCATGTTTATCTTGAACTTTCACTTTGGCCGAATGTGATGGAGTCCAATTAGGCTTGTGCATGCTTGAAAATGGACCAACAGTGGGCAGCATTATACATGTAAAATTGGGCCGAATGTGAGCTTTGCATGATTACATGCATGTTTTACACGACAATGCATTTTGCGCTTGAAAAACCTAAAGCGATGAAAATAACATGAAAAGCACAAAAAATCATCAAAAAATTAAACTTTTAACACCCTTTCGACATATAAAATCTCTATACATTTTGTTGCTATCAACATTAGGCTCAAAAGGGGTGATTAAGGATAAATATATAAAGGTTAGCTTCAAAGGCTTAGACGATTGAAAGATGGCCTAAATCATCTTTTTAGTTAAGTGTGGCCTTTTATTTTGCCTTAAGAGATATTCAAGCAAATTCTAAAATATGTACAAAACATCAAAGATCAATGCAATTCTGTATCTACGTAAAGTTCAACTAAACATACTTACATCTTAATGGTAAAAATTAAGTGCTGAAGAATTTTAAAATATTGTAATAAAAAGGAAACATATTCAAGAATTCATCTCATGCCTTCACTAGATTCATTTTTTTCTAAAAAGCTATATTTAAAGGCAATCAAAGTTATTATCATTGGATTATGAGAAAGTAATCAAGGAGAAGCGTAATGATTTTGAACATGATATATAAACTCAAAAAATAAAAAATTTAAAAAAATTTTGAAAAATTTTGCCCAAAATTTTGTCTCCCGTTAACTTAAATAACATATTATCCTCAATGTGTGCAAATAAAACATAAAATTGCAAAAGAGAAAAAAGGATACTCCCTTAAAATCATAAAACCTAA